TCCATGGTACCGTGTTTTCTGATCTAACAAAGCATCAGGGTGTCAAACTCTTCTTTGGCCTCTGATTTGGAGACGACATTGCTTTAAATTTCTCTCCATTATATATATTTTGCTTGTAACAAGATAAAACCCATACTGGATCCTGCTGCATGCTAACTAAGAGGGAGAGCAGCCCCGCACCCGCCATCCCTATCCCAGGACCCCTCCACATGACCACCTTTATTTGGGCACCCCCTCTAGGCTGGACATTGCTTCCCTTGCTTGCCATGGGTCCCCTCCCCCCACAACAACCCTATGTGGTAGCCTGTATTATAACAGAAGCACTGCTGCACAAGAGGTTCAATCATTTGCACAAGGTCATAGAGTGCAATAAGCGGCAGATTTGATAGTCAGAGGACGGCTGGTCCCAGAGCCCACACCTCTTAGGTCCTGGCCTTCGCCACTCACGGGGGCTACCACTGTGAGTGTGCAGGAGAGGGAACGTGTACGTGCGTGCACGTGTGAATGTGCACGGTCATGGCCACACTTGCCATTGCCTCCTGGCCCAACAGATCTCGCCGTGATGAAACTCTGTGTCCACCCGCAGGTCTTCACCGTGTTCTTCACTGCCGAAATGGTCTTCAAGATCATTGCCTTTGACCCCTACTATTACTTCCAGAAGTGGTGGAATATCTTCGACTGCATCATCGTCACTGTTAGCCTGGTGGAGCTGGGCTTAGCCAAGAAGGGGAGCCTGTCTGTGCTGCGGACTTTCCGCCTGGTAAGGTTTTGGAGAGCGTCTCACCCCGAGCTTCCAGGAAACGCACCCCTCAGAGTAGACGCCATCTTTCGGGGGTCCCACCAGGCAACTCCTTCTTCCTCTGTGTCCCTGTGGAAGGAGGCCAGCCATGGTGCCTGGGAATCTGGAGCCTTGAGTTCTGACCCTCACCTTTCACCGACTCCAAATAGGATCTGCCTTCTCCTTTCGGAGCCTCAGTTCCCTCAGCGGCACAGAGAGGGGGGCTGCCAGTTACCCCCACTGCCCTCTCATCAGCTCATCACATCAACAATACTAACAGCAGCCAAGGGTTAGTGTGCACTTGGAGTGTGTCAGCACGGTGTGAAACAAACCAGTAGACCAGGTGTTCTTGAGTCTTTCAGGCGACCCGTCTGTGTCAGAGGAGAGCCATGCTCCATGGGCGTCTTCAGTGGCTGGTTTTTTAGGACGTAGATCCCCAGGCTTTTCTTCTGCCGTGCCTCTGCGTGAATCTGAACCCAGGGGACGGGTTCGTAACAGAGGTTGTATCACCATTTGTGCCACTCAGGAACGCCTTCAAAAATCTCTTTACATGCAGGACCCCAATTTCTGCTCACAACAACTCCAGGAAATTGTTGTTTTTAAGATCCCTGCAGGTGAAAACACAACACCAACTCACTGCCACCGAGTCCATTCTGACTCACAGCGAGCTCTACAGGACAGGGTGGAACTGCCTCTCCGTGAGTCCGGGTAGATTAGAGAAACAAATTCATAGACACTCATATGTGTATAAGAAAGAGCTTTATCTATGAGAGCAATTGAATATTGATAAAACATCCCAGCCCAGTCCAGATCAAGTCCATAAGTCTGATATTAGCCCATAGGTCCAATACCAATCTATAAAGTCCTCTTCAGACTCACACAACACATGCAATGATGCCGAATGCACAAAGATCACAGGCCAGTGGGTGGAATGTCTTGTGGATCCAGCGGTGGTGTAAGCATCTCAGCGCTGGCAGGGGTCTCCATGTGGCTCCTCCAGCTCAGGGCACTAGTGTAGCTCCATGTGCCTTGTCAGCTGCAGCAATGTCTCCCAGGGAGTAAGTCTACGTCCAGCCTCCAGTGAGCTATGTATCTCCTTATCACCTCCAAATGAGGTCATTAAGCTGTGACCTGATTGACAGGCTAAACTCCACCCCTCACTCTGAATCCTCTCAAATTGACAACAGATTATATAACTACCACAGCCTCTCTCTGGGTTTCCAAGACGGTCACTCTTCACAGGAGTAGAAAGCCCCGTCTTTCTCCCTCAGAGCAGCTGGTGGTTTTGCATGGCTGACCTTGCAGATCACAACCACGACACCACCAGGGCTCCTTTTAGATGAGCATCCGCTGAGACACCGGGTGGCTCAATGCTGCCAGCAGCTTCTCAACTGCTGAGAAAGTGACTGCGCTGGAGACCAAATCCAATCATCGGATCCCAGAATCCCTTCTCTCCACAGCAAGCAGGTCGCCCCTGGTGCCCCTGCACCTCAAGTCGCAGTCCAAAGTGTCTCTCACACCCTGCAACCATCTCCTACCAGCCAGTAAATTTGCTCTTCTCTAAACTCAGCTGGAGGAGGGCTGCTCGTTCCAATCACGCGTACCCCTCACACTCAGGCCACTGGCTGTTCTGAGCCTGTTTTCATCTGAATTGTCAGGTTACCTAGAGGGGATCCTGGAATCACTGATCTCCCGGAGGAAGCTTGTGCTCTGCTGGCTATTAGGAACAGGCAAGAGTCCCAAAGGAATCACGCAGCTGATTAGCTTAAAAACCAGCATGTTCCCGGTGCTCTCTCATCATCACCTGGGCGCCCGGTGTCTAGTGTCAGAAAGAAATGACAATGTGAAGGATGGTATTCCCGGCAGCCTCCGCAAATTCAAACTGGGCAGCTCTAACAAGTGCTGGGCGCCTAGAGGTTGAAGAGGCCAGCTGCTTCAGGGAGCAATAAGATGTGAGGTCACAAAGTCTGGTTGGGATGCTTCGTGAAGGGCCAGGGAGACCTCTCAAGCCTCTGGCCTCAGCTGACCCAGGTTCGGGATGATAAACTCAAAAGCCCACAGGAACCAGGCAGGCCATGAAATGAAGCAGCCAATGAGATGTTGGCCCTGGGCAGTTGGTCAATCTGGACGGGACAGCGGCTACTCCATCCAGCATCAGTGGGCCCAAGGCCATGCACCATTCCAGGAAGGGACCCTGGCAGGACAACCTGTGTTCCTGTGTTCTTTGGAGTAGCCAAAGATGCAATCTTGTCCTTGATTATCAGAGTTTCCAACTTTTTGTGACAAACCAGACATACAGATTTCATGTGACTTTTAAAATAGTGGTCACAAAGTCAATATATATTTTTTAAGTGGAGGAGTCAAGCAATGCATGTCCCAGGCATGTGTACCGCTGGCTGATGGCACCTGTCTGAGCTGACGATGTCTTCACCATCCCACGGAGGAAAAAGGGATAGGTGGGCTTGCAGGGCTTTTTATACGTCACCTGGGATCTTCAGAAGACAGGAAGTAAGTCCCATGTTTAGGACAGATTACTCTAAGTATCTGAAAAACCCAGACCTGTAATTAGTGATTGGGGCAAAATATCAATCCCCAAGCCCCGAACAATGAAGATTCTGTACTTCCTATGTCTTGGGAGGCTCAGAAATGAGGGCTAACTAGAATATTAACATTTTGGGGTACACTTCAGGAGAGGCCAGCTTGATGCTTTAAGGTTTATGGACTACTTGCATTCTTGTTTCATGAAGCCAAGAGCCCCAAACAGCCCGGGTTAGTCTGGGTACCTTAGAGAAACAAATCCACAGAAACTCATATGTAGAAGAGAGACTTTTACATCAAGAAAACATCCCAACCCAGTGCTGCCCAAACCCACAAGTCCAACATTAACCCAAATGTCCAACACCAATCCACAAAGTCCTCCTCCATCTCACAAAACACACACTATGATGCCGACTGCAGGAGGAAAGCCGAATCCGTGAACGTGTAAGCATCTCAGCACTGGCAGGGGTCTCCACACAGCTGCTCCAGCACCCAGGGCTGCATCAGGGTAGGTCCATGCGGCTTCTTCTCGGGGATGTCTTGCAGGAAGTGAGCCATGCCAGCTGAAGCAAGGAACTGGCTAAGGCAGCTGCACCATGGTCTGACCATCAGAAAGCAAGAGACCTGAGAACTAGAAAGACGAGGCTCACCGAGCCATTTATCTCGCCGCCCTTCAATTAACCCCACATGTGTTTATCAGCCAGGTTGGCACAATAAACTTTAACTATCTCACAGCCCAAGTAAGCAGATATTCTCCACAATCTTGACCCGCAGGGCAGGTGTATGTTCCCCGGCTTCCTCCTTCCCGAGCCTCCTACACTGATCGGCTTTCCATTGCTTAACACCAGCCACTAATGCGAAACCACTAAGCCACCAGGGTTCACCAACAACTGCAGCCCACCTCCTCAACCCATCCCACCCCACCCCCAAATATGTGGTTCTGTTTTTTTCCCACCCTGGCTCCCTCAATACTTCCCAATCCCTTACCTCTCCCCCACCCCCCAGTCTCCTTCTCTTCTTGATTTCTAATACTTACGTCTTCAAAGCTTTACTTTCGTTTTCATTTTCATTGGTTCTCCGGGAACATGCACATCGACGACCTGGAAGACCAGAGAAACAGAATTGAAAAGTAGCTCTTGACAAGGCATCTTCATTGGGATCTCCAGTAGTCACTATGCATTTAACATGTCAACTAAAGAATGATTATTATTAATTACTTTCCCGCCCCAGACCTGCCTAGTTTACTTAAGCGTACCACCATTCACTCTTTTGGACAAGCCAAATATGAAACATAGATTTGCCCATGATTCTTCTATTTCTCTCACTCCCCACTTTAAATCTGTCTCCAAGTCTTAGTTGATTACAACTCGAAAATACATCTGACATCCGTCAGACCAGAATTGTCCCTCATTGGATTTTTGCAATAGTCTTTCAATTGATCTCCCTTCCTCCACTCTTCCCCTAGACAATCCGTCCTCCTGATTTCAGCAGCACATCCTGAAAGCTCTTTAGTGTGCTTGCAATAATTGCCAGTGCCCTGGGAATTAAAAAACAAAAAAAAGTTCTTATGACAGCCCATAAAGTCCTACAGAACTGAGTCCTGCCCATTTCTATGAGTAATTCCCTGCTTGGCCACTTTGCCGCAGCCGTAGAGGCCTCCTCTCCCTTTGTCACACATAACCGAACTTCTCCTGGCTGGGAGTCTTCGCACAAGATTTCCTCTGCTTGGGACACTTTCACCCCAGCTCTTCACGCCGTTCATTCCCCTCTTGCCTGGCTCCAGTCACACATCACCTCCTCGCAGACTCCTTTCCCAACCACCCTCTCTAAAGTTGGATTTCCTCATCAAATTAACCTGTTTTTCACAGCGCAAAACGGTTCTACTCGTCCACGAGGCAAAAACATGATTTCCCAAGCCCCTCGCGCACAGGAGCTCAATAATTGTTTGGTGATGGATGGATGGAAGGAAGCAAGGAAAGTGAAAGAGAGGAGACAACGGAGCATACATCTTGTTTCTTCATTCCTGCTTTCTCCTCTCTCCAAAAAGAACATCACTCCACTCATGATGCCATCAGTTCATTGGTCCCTCCTGACACCAGCGCCCTGAGCTTCTATGCGCATTCTGGAATCGCATTGTCAAGTTCCATACACATTGATTCAAAGCTGTGTGGTTGTCACTACTGGGATTGTAATCATCTATGCAGCCTTCCAATCTAGGAAGAGAACATCCTCTCCATTGATTTAGATCTTTCAATAAATATCTTTCAGACGAGCTTTTAAAGATTCAACTTTTAAAATTCTCTCAAAAGAACTTACAAAGATCTTGCCTGTCTTTTGTTAGGCTTATTTCTATGTACTCCCTCAGTTTTTCATTCTATTCTAAGTGACATCTCTTTTTGAATGTCCTTTGCTGCCTTGTTTTATTTTGTTTTGCTGGTAGTTTG